ATATATATATATATAAAATTGTGTATATATAGAGAATATAAAATTTTGTATCAAAATAATGCCCTTCACCCTGAAGATGGCTGGTGGTAGCAATAAAACCAAGCAGCTACCCTAAAGCCAGGAAGGTGGGGCAGTGTGTATAAAAGACACAAGGCTTCTGGGACAGCAGGGTTAAGACTACTGTACCCATCTTTCACCTTACAGCCTGCTGCCACCACCTGTTCTCTTTTTTTGGCTTGGCTAGGAGGAAAGTTCTGCAAAACTCCAAACCTACCTCATTATTCTGAATTCTTAATTGATGCTAATGCTTATATTACATTTCCCTTTTTTTCCTTATTGATTAATCATTGGTGATTGAAACCAATATAAATAAAGCTCATGTAACTGACTGCTTCCTTAACCGATTGTGTATTTGTGTCTCTACATGAGTGTTCAAGATGTGTGCTGAAAATGATGCAGTTTGTCCTGTTATTGGAGCTTTAGGACTCAGACATCATGGGTGGAATTTTTATACCAGGAATGGGGGACTTGTCGTTCTACACACAGTTCTGCATTAGCCCTGACTGTGTTTGCTGAGATATGAGAAATTGTAGAGACCAGCAACATCTGGAGAGGCATCTTTCTTGTCCTTAGTCCCACATTGCCAGCTATGCTACATGTAAACAATGATACAAACTCATCAGAAATTCACCGCCTATTTATTATTTTAGTACGTTTGATTTGTATTTTGCTTTTCCATGCACCTGGATACTCTAGAAGTCCACACTTGCTCTGGTTTGTGTTCAAGATCGCTACTCTTGCCAGAAGCCAGCACTAAAACGGGGGGAACAGCCTGTCTTTTGATTTACAGCCCAACCCATTCCAAGGGCGGGGTTCCATTCGAGGGCTAAAAACAACAAAACTAATTAGCGTCCATCACTGAGTGAAATTTATATTCCCCCCCCCCTTTTTTTTCCTCGAGCTCCGGACCAAACCCAATCAGGAAGTCATCCACATTTTATGGATCTGGATCCCTTTCTCCAAAAATTAGGGATCGCAAGAAATCGACCATTAGGCTCGGTTTCCGGGGAATGCAAAAGAGGGGCTCTGCAGTGCTCGGCGGGGGTTTCCCCTCTTCCCATTTCCCCGGATTAAGGGAGCACAAGAGGGTCCGCTCGCCTCCTCCCCCAGTGCAGGGAGCGCGGGCTGGAGAATCAGGGAGGGAGGCGGCCACTTCGCCGCCCGGCTCCTTTCGTTTCCGCCGCAGTTTCCGATGGGGCCGTTCTTGCTGCGGACGCTGCCGCGGAGGAGCGTCTGGGCGTACCGAGACTTCCTCTCAAGTCGCGAACGAGGCCGCCCCGGGGAGGACGGACCGGCTTGGAGGTCCCATGGAGCCCCCCGAGACGAAGCTGCCCAGGGCTGTAAGTAGCGGCCCTCCGCTCCGGAGGGAGAGAGCCGCAGGGGCGGCGCTGCGTTCGGCTGCTCCGGCAGGGAAGAGCCCTCGGGCGCCCGGGCTGGATGCGTTTGCGATCGAATTGAAAAAATTGGGTTATAGGCTCGATGGTGAATTGCCCTGACGGCCCAGGCGACATCGGTGTTTGCATTTCTTGCATCTGAAGGCTGAGTGTGAGAGCTTTACCCCCACAACGTTACTCGCGCTGTTAAAACAGTATATCATAATTTACTGTAACGTCTGCAAAGGCAAGGGGTAGAAATGCATGTGTTGTGACGTCACAGTCGTTCGTTCGAATGGAGCTTAGCGGATGACAGCGAGTCAGCCTCTGCTTCTCATCAATAATCTATCCGCCGAGGGAATTGTGAATAGACTCATGTAATCACATAAGTGCGTTTGATTTTACAAGGGCTCGGCATCTTAGGCCAGCATAGTGTCATTCTATCTTGCTAGGCCTAGAGGTGGACCAAAACTATTTAAAGACAATGCGTTTAAACTTTGCAAGTGACATAGCCCTTATCTCTACCGATTACAGCTCACCTCTCAAAAAGGTTTATGAAGTGCATTCATCTGAACACAATTATGCTGCACGTAACATTTATTTATTTATTTAATCAAATTTATACAGCCACCCATCTCCATATATGACTCTGGCCAGCTCACAAACAGTTAAAAACAATATAAAAACAACAAAAACAATACAACCGTGTAAAACAATAGAAACAATATGAACCATAAAACCATATCACAGAATTCAAAATGTACACCCGAGGTGAACACATCCATCCATAACAGTCAATTCAGCCACTACACAGGCTCTACCCTATTTGAACTTCTTTTCTGTTGTTTATTTTATGCTAAAGTAAGCAGATAAAGCCTCATCATGTGCAGGGAATCTCCCAACTGCTTGCTTCCCAAAATACACCTTCCACATAGGGAGCAAATCTCAGAAAGCAAGTAACTAGGGTAAATGTTAAGCCTTGCCTGAATGGGATAATTGCAGTCTGGATCATACTAATGATACGAAAATTGTGGAGCTTTTTCCTAAAAAATCCGTCTCAAAGCTTTGTGCTAAAAGTGAAAAGAGAGGTGTGCTTGTCTGGGAACATTGGGGACACAATTTGCATAATTTTAACACATTCAATCAAACACAGGACTCAAGTGATATGAACTTATTATTATGGTTGGTTGCACAGTCAGCCAGATGATGACAATGATGATTGTTTATACAGTTTTTCCTCCCAAAGAGTCCTGCCCCATATATTATTTTACTTTTAATTTTTGATTTTGTTTTTTTATTTCAATTTTTAAAATAGAGTCAGTAGATTGCCCTCTATCAAAAGTGGTTTTATGCCAGTTATAATTTTTACAGTCACTTTAACTATAAGGAACTATTTTCTCTGGCTGTGTATTTATAACCACTATAGCAGATAAGAAGTAACTTGTATGCATAATTTGAAAGGCTGAGGAAACTGGCCATTTTGGTGCATCTTTGCAGTATGTTACATGCATGGTGATATAACTCATTAGAGATTGTTTATGGCTAGTAAATTTGTACTTCGCATCATAAATCTATCCCAACATCATAAATGTTGCAGATAAAATGTCACATTAGTAGTTCAATATTGTTGGTTGAAAACCTGTTCTAAAGTAAATTGCAAGAGGAACATTTTTTTATCAGAGAAATAAATTGTTACTTCAGAGTCAGAAAACAATCACAGCAGAATGGCTCTTCCATGTTCTTCTTTAGCTGGCAAGCTTCCAAAAGCTCTGCTGGAAACTGGTTACTGATTCCATTTACTCTGATATCACCCTTGTATTCTAAGCACTTTAGGGCAGAATAACTATCATGCCTTTTTGTACTACCAGTCACAAATGTCAGTGGTTAGAAATGCCACTTTCATCCATAAATCTGGATAGATGGTTGCGAAAAATTCTATACTTGTTACCATTGTTTGAGGAATGTATGGCATTTTTGAAATCACTTTTGAAACTTAAATCACAAAAAATGACATTGGTAGAAGGAAGAAGGTTCCTTTTCTCATAAACAAAACTGAAGTTGGATGCTAAAGTATTTGTAAGAAAAGGATATTATGCAATCCTTAAAAACATTTTTACATCCATCCTATTTAATACATTCCATATTTTCATGCTGAATTTTTTTCCCCTTGTGAACTTAAATCAGGGTCACATGCCTCACTAAGGAAGATCTATGGTTGCTTGGGTGAAAGAGAAAATTGGAAATAGATTGTAGAATCCTGCCCTTTGGTGCCTTGCTGTCTGGTGTATAGCATGGAATTGTCTTTTTTATACTTTCCTAAATAAGGCTAAAGGAGAACATTGTCTATTCTACTTTTTATTTCGAGGTTTTTGTTGAACAAGCATAGGTCAGTCACACAACAGTTAGAGCCTTGAGCAAAGACCTGAAAAAGTCAAGGGTGGACTTCTGAAATTGTTCCCAGTACACAGGATACATTTGAGCATGCAGTTTGTCATGGGCAAAATTATGAGTGATTATCGGCTCTTTGTAGGTAGCTAAGGCTAGGTGCCTTCAGAGATGTTTCACATCTTGTTTTGAATGGGAGGCTACATTGTAGAAATCTGCCGTAATTGCAGCAGCCCCACACTTTCTTTTCTACCCATCTGCTCTGGACAAGATAAGGAGGGAGGGGGAGAAACAAGTGATTCTCTGCTAGTCTACTCCAGTGTTTCTCAACCTTGGCAACTTTAAGATGGGTGGACTTCAACTCCCATGCTGGCTGGGGAATTCTGGGAGTTGAGTTCCACCCATCTTGAAGTTGCCAAGGTTGAGAAGCCCTGATCTTCTCTATAATCCCTCCTCTCATTTTGTTTTAAAGGGATACAATCTCCCTGAGAATGGAGATGGATATGCAGAGATACATAGCCCTGCTGCTGTAACATTCTCCGCTGTTTTGCATATTGAAGTTTATGATTGCAGATAGTGGATTTGGCATATCCAAGAAGAGGGATATAGAGAAATCTGCTGATGTTCCTCATTGCTCAGACTAAGTCTTTGTTTATGAAGCCAGTAGTCAATCTTTTTGTCATTTCATTTTGTTTTAGCAAAATATGTTTCTGGTTATTTCAGTTTGGAAATTGCCTTTTGAAGCCAGTGTCTTGTAATCCATAAATTTACCAGAATCCATGTTGTGCATTTTTAATCCCCAGATCCTTGGCCATGGAGACTATGACTCTGATTTTAGTGATGATGAAACAGGAGAGAAATCTCGCCAGCAAAAAAATAGGTAACATATTGCTCTCGTAGCATTATAAGCTGTATGTGTGCAAATGGCAGACTTTTCTTTTTTTTTCTTAAGCTTGAGCAGAGTATCTTGCCTCAAAGAAACAATGGTAAAAGGTACTATTGCATCCATTTAGTGGCTGTTTGCCATCTTACTCCTTGTAGTTCTGAGCTTCTGCTCTGAAGACACAGAACACCACTAAAGGCTGGCTAGCCCTCCTGTGCTACATCAAGTTACTGAACAAGAAATCAGAGGAGTCAAGGCCAGATGGCCACAGGAAGTTGAGGGAAAGGACCCTACTGGAAGGAAAGGAAGTGTTACTGCTGTTTGTTACTTCTTACCAACCTGTCTTTATGGGAGATGATTGATTACATGTCATCAAGTCACTTTCAACTCCTAGTGACCACATGGATACATTTTCTCCATGAATGGGAAATGAAGTGTAATGCAATCCTATGCTCATTTATTGGGAGTAAGGTTATAAATATGTACATTTATTTATGCTGATTTTTTAATTAAAGTATTACCAGTATTGAATGTGGCATTCAAGAGCATTATCTTGGTTGCTTAGAAAACAGAGGGGAGACATATAAAAATGGTGAAATGTGAAAATAGGAAAAAAAGAGAGATCTACAGTGGGGCAAAAAAGTATTTAGTCAGCCACCAATTGTGCAGGCACCACTTAAAAAGATGAGAGAGGCCTGTAATTTTCATCATAGGTATACCTCAACTATGAGAGTGTAGGTGACCAAATACTTATTTTCCACCATGATTTGCAAATAAATTCTTTAAAAATCAGACAATGTGATTTTCTGGATTTTTTCCCCCATTTTGTCTCTCATAGTTGAGGTATACCTATGATGAAAATTACAGGCCTCTCTCATCTTTTTAAGTGGGAGAACTTGCACAATTGGTGGCTGACTAAATACTTTTTTGCCCCTCTGTAGATCTCTCTTTTTCTCCTATTTTCACATTTCACCATTTTTATATGTCTCCCCTCTGTTTTCTAAGCAACCAAGATAATGCTCTCTCATAGTTGAGGTATACCTATGATGAAAATTACAGGCCTCTCTCATCTTTTTAAGTGGGAGAACTTGCACAATTGGTGGCTGACTAAATACTTTTTTGCCCCTCTGTAGATCTCTCTTTTTCTCCTATTTTCACATTTCACCATTTTTATATGTCTCCCCTCTGTTTTCTAAGCAACCAAGATAATGCTCTCTCATAGTTGAGGTATACCTATGATGAAAATTACAGGCCTCTCTCATCTTTTTAAGTGGGAGAACTTGCACAATTGGTGGCTGACTAAATACTTTTTTGCCCCTCTGTAGATCTCTCTTTTTCTCCTATTTTCACATTTCACCATTTTTATATGTCTCCCCTCTGTTTTCTAAGCAACCAAGATAATGCAAGACTTACAGAAAACGTTTGACCTCTGTCATTGCCAACAAAGGATATATAACAAAGTATTGAGATGAACTTTTGATATTGACCAAATACTTATTTTCCACCATGATTTGCAAATAAATTCTTTAAAAATCAGACAATGTGATTTTCTGGATTTTTTCCCCCATTTTGTCTCTCATAGTTGAGGTATACCTATGATGAAAATTACAGGCCTCTCTCATCTTTTTAAGTGGGAGAACTTGCACAATTGGTGGCTGACTAAATACTTTTTTGCCCCACTGTAAACCAGCTCCTCCTGAATAAATATAATCTTTTCATTATGAACAACTTTTTAAAGATGTCAGTGGAATTTCAGTTGCCCTGAGGGGTAAGAAACATCCATTAGAGCTACGGGTACTTTAGATTCAGAGACACAAGAGCAGAAACATACACTTCTGCAGTTCTTTAAAGTAGCTAGTTGGTTTAAAGAGTTGCAGATAAGTACTACATTCTTACTCCTGTACACTCTGAAATGCTTGTTCTGCCTCTTAAGTGCTACATAGCACTTAAACCTATTGGAATGATTCCTATGGGGATCTGAACATAGTGCCAAATATTTCAAGCAGTCTTCCCAACCTAATTCCCTCCATTTGTTAAGCTGCAGTTCTCATGGTCCTCAGTCAGTACATGAAATAAATAAGCTTGCTGTAATCTAGAGGTTAGTATCTAGAAGTCCTAGGATCAGATCTGGCCATTTGAAGAACACCAATTGGCCTCTTGCTAATCAAGAAGGAAAAAAGTGTATTTTAAAGAAAGAAGTAGCCATTACAGTGGGATTTTCTTAAACTCGCTAGTGTATTTGAGTCTTAATTCTGCTTGATTGATTATTGTGTACCCATTGCTGCTGCAATTGAGTTTATCCACTTTGCTTAGTATTATCTTCTTCTCTTTCCTTCCACCTTTCCCAGCATTAGAGCCTTCTCCAGAGAGCTAGGTCTTTGCATAATGGTTTGAAATATGATAATTTGAGTCTGGTCATTTGTGTCTCATGTGGGAACTCTGGGTTGATGTGTTCAATGATCCATTTGTTTGTTGTCTTGGCTGTCCATGGTATTCTCAGGCATCTTCTCCAGCACCAAAGTTCAAAAGCATCAATACTCTTCCTATTCTACTTCTTCAAAGTCCAGCTTTTGCTTTCACAGAGTGTCAGGAAAAACCATAGTCTGCACAATTCTGATCTTTGTAGGTATATGCATCCCAGCATCTGAGTATGTGTTTCAAGGAAGCTATGATTCTAGTTATTATTCTTGATTCTCGTTTAAGTTTAAAGTTTAAGTTTAAGTTTAAGATTACTTAAGTAATCTTAAGTATTTTACAAATATATGTACATAGTATTCAAGAGAGAGATTTTAAAAATTACCATAAATTCAATATATAAGAAATATTTTCCTTTTTCTTTCCATTCTACATGTCAACCAGTGAAGATGCATTACTCAAAAAGCCTTTCCAGAAGGAAAAGCAGAGCAAAGTGGCCCACAGACAGGTGGCAACGGATGAATGGGACAGGTACTTTGCCACACCAGCGTAACATTGTCGGAATCTCATTAAGCACCTGCATTGCTGGAATAACATTTTCTTTTTTCTAGGGAAGAAGCCAGAAATAGACGATTCCATTTAATAGCAATGGATGCTGTATCCTTTATTATTTTAATAAAAAGCAACAATACTCTGTTTTTAATATTGAAAAAAAAATGTCCGAACAAAACACTCTCAAGAGTTTTTTGCATATGGTTTTATTTTTTCTTTGTGGTTTTCTTCATCAAGTATGTTTTAAATTATATTTCTTAAGGCAGAGTTCAGATACGGACAATTTCTGGTTATCTTGATCATTGTGGGAAGGAAGGAAAAAAGGGATATCTGTGAGATTGGTGGGTTTTTTTTAATGAAAGAAGATAATAGTGAAACTGAACTGGCATACAAGAAATTTACACTAGGAAATTGTCAAAGATCAGTCTGGAAAATTAATAGGATACATTTTCATAGCGATGACTTCAATATTTCAGAATATGAAAATGTAATTTAATAAGGAGAAAACTCTTCTTTCTCTTTCCTATTCACTTACAAGTAGTCCTCGCTTAACAACCACCATAGAGACTGGGAAATTAATTGTTAAGCAGGGCAGTCGTTAAGCGAAGCATCACGTGACCACACCCAAATTTAGGACATTTTTTATGGTGGTTTTCTGTTGATTTTGCTTGCTGGAAGCTAGCTGGGAAGGTTGCAAATGATGATCACATGACTGCAGGACGCTGCAACTGTCGTAAGTGCAAGCTGGTTTCCAAGTGTCCAGATTGAAATCATGTGACCATGGAGGTGTTGTGACAGATATAAGTGAAATATCCTTCAATATGTCCAATGTTAAAATATTTTGCTTCATTCTATATTAGTAAGTAGATTTTGAGTGTTCTCCTTTAACTGTAATCTTTAGTTCCTTCTAGTCCCCTCTAGTGTCCAATTTTTAACTCTTACCTTAAGAATTCAAAATTGAAAGCATTTTCCCACTGGAAGGATTCTTTATAATTCCAAAATCTTATTTCAAATATATCTGGACCCTTAGTCCATTTGTAACTTTCCAAAATCAAAGTTTTAATCACCCTTTTGCTGTTTATTGCAGAATTTTTAAAAATTAACTTGTATTTAAAACTTCTTTCATTAAGGATTGAAGGAAACTTACCCAGTGCTGTCAAATTTGTTGGTCCAAAGGTTTCTAATAGCTGAAAAGCAGTTAATGAGCAGTTTCCAAAAGCGATTAGAAAAGAAAGTACACAAATCCAGTGTTCTTTTAAAGGTGCTGACTGTGGTTTGAACAAGATGGCTTTGCCTCGTCTCCCAGAGCTCTAAACCCGCTGGAGACTTTTGTCTTGTGGTCTCCTTGCAAGGAGAAACTGTCTGGAGCACTTGTGGGCAATCTCAAGTCCTCTCCTTGTTTGGAGAGGATTTACAAAGAGCCAGTCTACTCACCAGCTCTTCATTCGACTCCGCTTTTCAGAGCTTCAGTTTGCCATTTCTTCCCTGGAAGTCCCACAAATATATAACAACTGAAGCACTACAAAATTCATATTTATATAACTTTGTAGTGCTTCAGTTTTGATTTAAAGAGATTATTCAAGATGCCCAATATAAATACAGCACCTGTCAGCAATTCTTTAAAAGAGTTTTGTGGGTTTTCCAGGTTCTCATGACTGCTGCAGGGAACTTTCAGGTCTGACAGAGGGTCTTGCATCATCATCTTCCTCATCTGTCAAATGTTATAACTGTGTGTAACCTAATCATCATTAACAATAAGTGTCACTTTAGAACAGTGTTTCTCAACTTCAGCTACTTCAAGATGTGCAGACTTCAACTCCCAGAATTCCCCAGCCAGCATGCTGGCTGGAGCATTCTGGGAGTTGAAGTCCACACATCTTAAAGTCGCTGAGGTTGAGAAACACTGCTTTAGAATCTTACAATTTCTTATATTGTAGAAATGTTTTTAGACTAGATTCTATGAATTGATCTTAAGGTGAAATTGTGATTAGGCAATCATTGAAAAGAAACACTACTGATTTCCTTAATTCTGTCAGTATGCAAGACATAAGAAGTTTGTAAATGATTATATTTTATACTATGGTGGTAAGAAAGAAGACTTCAAACGTTCAGGGTAAGTAGAGTTTTATTTATAGTAGTCTGTTTCCAAAAGATATACTGTAAAGGCTGAAATCATCAATAATTGAACACAAATAGAATTGAAATTAATTTGGCATATGTAAATATTTATAAGATTAAATTATGCATGAGTAAATTTTGGATAATTAAAGACTCCTTCCTATGTTATATTTTACTTATCTTACTCCATGTTGAATAGATTGATGGTGAAAAGTACAGTAAGTTCCTGTGTAAATAAATGCACATTTTTCATATCTGGAGATTATAGTTTCTATAAGAAGTAGTAATGCTTAAACTAGTTCTCAGTAGAGTGTTCCTATTATGTGTTTGAGAGTTCCGTGTGCAAAATACGAATTCTTTTAGTTATGCCTATTGTCTAATTCAGAACTAAAACTAGAAAGCTATGTATAAATAGAATATTATTGAATCCTGTGTTTCTGAATTAAAAAGCACACTTGAACATTTAATAGATCAACTGTATTCTCTAGATTAAATGTGGTGGATAGTATTTATGCATAAACATATTTATTAAAATCAACAGTACTAAGTTATAAAAAAACTTATCTTGTACATTTTTCTGAATCTAGAGAATTCAGAAGCATTTTCATGTAGTGTAAGGTAGTCTCCAGGGAGGGGACTTTTTGATTAGGAGCATCTTTTTATTAAAAAAAAAAATGAAACACTAAAGAAGTTTGCAAAAACTGCTAAAGAATGAACAACTTTTATTACTAGTTTTAATTAAAAAACAACCATTTGTTAATTAGGCCCAAACTTTTCTTTTTAACAGAGAAAATGATAAGACTGACCTTGATGTTATAAGAGAGAACCATAGATTCTTGTGGAGAGAAGAAGATGAAGTTGACATGAACTGGTAACTTGAACTTTGAGCTTTTACTTATTTCTCTGTCAGGGCAAATCGATTCACACAACCTTGGTCTGGCACAAAGGCAGCCCATTAACCCCTTCGCAAGCACATGTCTGCTTGCCTCCCCGTGTATCTTAGTATCCCATGACAGCCCAAGATTGCCTTAAGATGTGGCAATCTGGAAGTGGCATTTTCCCTTATGTCCTACTCATATACTGTGTGCAGGTGACATAGGGCACACCGATGTGCGCTGGGGAAGCAGTCTGAAATGATGTAGTCAGTGCTAGCGGTCCTGTGACTCCAGTTGGTTCTCCTGATTTCCTGTGGGATTACTTCCTTCAGTCTAATCCTTGACCTCTTTGCTCACCCTTCTCAGTCCTCTTTTGGCTGTGAGGCAGATCAGATCAGATCAGATCAGATCAGATCAGATCAAAGCAAGTCTTATTATAGTCATAGGCCAGCATAAAGGCAGATCAGTATTTCCACGTCTGCAGCTACTTTTTTTTTTAATGGGTTGGTAAACTGGAGTTCCAGGCCTTGAAACTGACCAGCCCATGCTAGGTTAACACATGAATTGGAAGGATTTAGCTCTTGTGCTTCTGTGGCCTTCTTGGCAGGCATTCCCTTCCCAGTGCTGCTGCTCCCACAGAGAAACTCCGGCATCTTGTCTCCTCTCATCACACGATGTTCTGAGGATATTTTACAGATTCCCCTAGCTAAGGCCCTTTCTCAAACTCCTAATGTTCACCCGCACTTATTCAATGGCTGCATTGCAGCTGCACAAATCCCTGTGGCCGCTCGATGGCAGCCAAGAGATATTAAACAAAAAAACCACAACCCTAATCTGTTGCAGTCTAGCAATCCACAGGTTTAACAGTCAACCGGTTGACCCGTAATTCCAAGGAAGAAGAACGATAAAAATAAAATTAATGGGTCGGTGTTCAACAGGAAAGAAAAAAATTGCAGGGTGTTGAGTAGCCATAATATTGTGCATGCCAGATAGAGGAGGCCTTTCATGTACTGAATTACATGGGATGGGGCTGGAATTTCAGCTGATGGAAACAGAAATTATCACCTTTGGAACGTTGCCTGTTAAAGCTGTATAAATAGCAGTGCGGCACAGATCCATTCCAGGTACAGTGGTACCTCGGTTCACAAACTTAATTCGTTCCGCGACTCTGGTTGCGACCTGAATTGGTCGCGACCCGAATCAAATTTTCCCATAAGGTTCAATGT